AACGAGAGGCCGGGCCAACCTCTGCCGCTGTGTTACCTGTTGTGTAGTGAAACGTGAAATTCAGGGTCCGGGTTTCATTTGGTGTCTTTTATGAGCACTGCATGTACGCTCAGTTTATAAAAGCCCCACAGTTCTTCCAAGTCCATAATTAAACTCCAGGTTTGTGATTTTTCCTTGCTATGGAAAGCCTTGCAATTGTGGCTCTTTAATTTCACCTGGGAAAGGATTATAGAGCTTTCTGATTTAATGAGCAGGTTTCATGTTAAATGTTGTCTGATTCTGAATCTCTTACCAAGGTAGAGACTGTTCCAAGAACAGAGAGTGTTAAGGATAAGGAAACTGATTTCCTTCAAGTTAGTTCCTATATGAAAAATTTAATTATGTCTAGTGAAATGATTTTTAAGAATGAGATGATTGTGTAAAATTAATTACTTGGTTTTAAAACAGCAAGATACTAAGTTAGACCTAAACAAAAACACTACTGTTTGCTTTTTACACACAGATGACTTCCGTTAAGTGTGAAATAAACTTTATTTTAAAAGGCATAAAAATAAATACAATAGACTACTTGCTAAATGAGAGCATCCTGGGGACTTGATCGCTCGAGTAAGTTACGACATTGCTACACATGAATAGTAGGGACTGAACTGCAGATGGACTAGATCTTTTGGCCAGTATTGGGTTGAATGAGACTTTTGATATCTCAGCCATAATGAAGTTAAATTCCTCTCCACCGTAGCTTTTTGTTGCTGTTATTTATTTTTACTTATTTATTTGAATTGTAGCTACAGTTAGAAAAGGTTTCCTGGGATTAGGAAGTGTAATTATTTAGGCAGCAAAAAGTTGTTTTAGAAATTTTACTATCATTACGAGGAAGTTTTAAAAGGCTGGAATTCCATTGTCTTGTAAGAAGTAAGAAATATTTATTGATTCCCAAATGGAGCTGAAAAAAACCTTTCCTCTTTTAGAAAGTTGTGAATGACCCAGCGAGAGCTCTAGTAAGCTTTACTGAACCAAGCTGCTAATAGTTATTTAATGTTATTCTTCAGTGTGAAAGAATCTCCCTAGATTTTCCTTTTAATCTCTTTGAATTGCAGGCTCATAAACCTCTCTGATGAGTCCTGCCAGTGTTTTCTTAGATCCCACCGTTGAGACAAAGGAGCCACAGAATTCTTTCACCTCTTGTTGTCAGACAAATCCAATAGAACACAAGGTCAGAAGGGCCTGTACTTCTGAAGGTTGAAAGATTCTTTTCCAAGTAACCACATAAATTATTTGATTTTATCATTATATTCCACAGGAATCTCTCTTCATAATGCATTGCTTTCTATATGTAAGTAAATTTGGATCTTTTTCTTGTCTCCATATTTGGCTAAGCTTTGGATACAGCACAGGATGTGAACGGACCTACATACCTTAGAAAAGCTGAGCCCATTTACTTCAAAAGAATTAGGAATCATGTAGTGTAATTGGACTTAAGATAGAGTACCCAAATGCCACGCATTGCATTTTCTTTCCAAATGGCTGGGTTTGTTTGTTTTTAAGTTATTACCATTCTGGAGCTAAGATTCCAGATTTAAATCTTGTACCTATTCCTTTAATTAAATCGCGAAGTCAGTTTATGTTTTCTCAATATTTTTAGTAGTGTCATGTTAACAGGAAAACTTTGAGATAGGATTTACATTTTCAGATACCTATTGAAATATTTCATTGTAATGAGCAAAAATATTTATAATATGTAATACTCAAAAGAAAAGGAACTTACCTACTTTGCAGATGCCATGCCTGATTAGAAGACAATTATCAAAGCTAATTACAGGGTTCCTGTGAGTTACTTTACAGGCTAGGGAAGAATTAAGTTTTCTAATTATAACGACAATGGTGGACAAGCAGAGATCATTGTTTAAAAAAGAAAAAAAAAAACATTGATTTGTTTGTGCTTCTTCCTTGTAATCGTAGTTAGGGTGGAAGTTGCTGTTGCCCCATTCCCTGGACACCTGCCTCTCAACAAAGGATCGGGGTCACCTCCCCACCCCCTACATTTAGATTCACCTTTTACTTGTATGTGTACCCCTTCTGCTCATTATACAGTTCTCCAGGGATCCAATTTTCCCTGAGTTAATCACCCCCAGCCTTTTTCACAAGTTGTTAGATTACCGTCTTTTCAAGGAATACACACTTTCTTAGGCTTTTAACTTTTCCCTAACTTTTGTTTCCTTATTTCTATTAAAAAGGGTAGCTCTTGGAGTCTTAGCACACTACCTTTAAAACTTTTTTGTTGAAATGTATCATACATGCAGAATAGTGCACCAATCCTAAGTATCCAGCTTGATGGATTTTCACAATAAACATACCCATCTAACCAGCACCCAGAAGGCCCCCTGTGCCTCCGGGTAGTCACCAGTTTCCCTCACACCCAACACCACAGTGTCATGCAACAACTCAGGGTAGTTTTGCCTGTTATATTTTATATAACAGGGAATCATATAGTATGTTCTCTCTTGTGTCAGATAGGACTTTTAAAACCAGAATCCCCCAAACTTGGACTGTGTCCACATAATATTGAATGATCAGATCAAATAGATATTTAGACAGCCACAGAACATGAGAATATTTTTTAATATACTTCTTTTAACTCTGACCTTGGGCAAAGTATTAACCACTTTTGCGTTCTGTTTTCCCTCTTATTAAAAGATACCATGTAAGTTGACCTGTCAACTAAGAAATAGCTTGCTACTTTAAAGTTACTGTATAGAAAGAAAAAAAGTAAGATGTAAAGGCCCGTTTTTTGAGGAAATAGAATAATAGAGAGGTGCTCCATGTGAAACAGCAACTAGCTGAGCATAACAGCTTCCTCGTGGAGAGGCACGGCAGTATGCTGACTTCCTTGGCAGTTATCTCTGCCAGTTATTTTTCATTTATTATTTTCAAATAAAAATAGCATAATGGATATATATGAATGGGTTGTCTTTTTGTGTAATTGCTGTATTGCAGGTGTGCAAGATAGGTTAGATTAAGGCTTATTCCTCTTGTCATTATCTCTGCCTTGTCTGATTTGCTTTAATTGATTTCAGAATTACTGAAGATATCGATCAGATACCCTGGAGTATAGCTGGCTTGATTGTAAATTATTTACATCTGTTTTTCCTCTAACTACAGTCTGTTAAGTGCCAGTTACCCCCATTCCTTAATCTAAAAGTGTTTCATTTCCCCATTCAAGCAGACTTACCTTAGTTATTCTAAGCAATTGAAACATATGATTAAGATTTTTTTTTCTCTGTATGGGACTTTTAGGGAGAATTTTTAAAAAACTAAAATACTGAATAACCTATAACCAAGTGTGCTTTATATAGAATGTGGGAATTGTTTTGTTCAGAGATTACCTCACATACTGATACAGTCCGTATAAGCTATTTAGTGGGCACAGAGATGGAGGAACTCCCCCCGACCACTGGGCAGGGTCTTTAGTCTTTGGATTTTAGGGTCCGTTTAATAGATTGTTGGTACCCAGTAAATATGAAGTGATATAATATTTGACATACTTAATAGAAAACCACAATGAGTTCAAAATATTGTATAATTTTTTCATCTATTTTAAAATTGTGTAACTCACCAATAAATTTTGAACAGGCAGTTATTAAATATAATTAAATTGTAGGCATTCACACAACGGAACAAAGGAAAGCATTCTCAGCAAGTGAACAAGAGACTAGTGAGACAGCTAAAGAAAATTTCATTGGGGTGAAGGGTGGATTTTAGTAGTTTCTTTTAAGCATCGACTTCTAGAAGAATAATACAAGCATACATGAAGTATAACATGCCTTTAAAAACAAAGACAAGTGCTCATCTGTTAGTTGCTGTCTTTGTCCCAAAGTATACTTGTTTTAAGCAAGAGTACATGCTTCTACTACCTAAACTACACACTTACTAAATTTAGGTAGAATGTCAGGCTTCTTTGAACCTTCCACCTGCAGGGAAAACTTTGGCGTAGGAAATAGCAATAGAACATCAACACAATACAGTTGTATTGTATGGTTATTGAAACCTTTTAAAGTAAGTCTAAAGTTACCTATTTCTCTGTTGCAAGCAATTAAAAATCAGATGACTAATAGCCTCTTACATTTGGTTAGAGCTTTTTTCTTTAAAGTACTTGTAGACTGATCTCATTTGATTAGAACAACACACTGGTATTAGTCTGCTCTGACTGTCATAAGCAAATTCCATAGGCTGGGTGGCTTAAACAACAGAAATTTATTTCTCATAGTTCTAGAGGCTGGAATTCCAGATCAAGCTGCCAGTCAATATGGCTCCTGGTGAGGGCTCTCTTACTGGCTGTAAATGGCCTCTTTCTTGCTGTGTCTTTGATACTTTCCTCGGTGCCTGTGCATGGAGAGAGACCCTCTCTCTTCCTCTTCTTATAAGGCCACTGATCTATCAGATTAAGACCCCACTCTTATGGTCTTATTTTACCTTTGTTACCTCCTAAAAGTCTTATCTCTAAATACTTCAATGTATGAATTTTGGGGGGACACAATTCAGTCCATTAACAACCCCTCTGAAGTAGATAAGAGATAGCTCAGTATATCTAAGGTATATTTCTAAGGTTAGAAAGCTGGTAAAATACTACAGCTAAGGTTCAGAAACAGTTATTTTTGCGCAACTACATGCTTCCTTCCTTAGTTACAGGTATAGTTTGACAAAAAAAAAATTCCCTATCTCTCACAAAAATAGGGGTTACTAATCACAAGGAATCACCAAAATCAACTCCATGGCTTTTGTATGTTGCATATTTGTGGAAAATAGGATAGATTTTGACTGTTGAAGTTCATAAGAAGTGGACCCCAAGTCATGTAGCCTTAAAACTGCTGTCAGAAGTAATAGACTAAGTTTTTAAATGGTAAATAAATTACAGCTGTAGTCACCAGGCTGTAGTTGTCTTTTCAGCATTCTTCATGGTTATGGTTAAGTGCTGAATAAATGTCGCATTTTATATTTTACAGAAGAGGATCTAAGAAATATGGGACCAGTAGATGCTCAAGTATATCTTGAAGAAATGTATTGGAATGAAGGTTGGGATTTTTTCTCTTGACTATAGTAAAGAAAAATATTACGGATTTTCTTTGAGAAGAAAAACTCATAGGATATTTGGAAATCTAAAAAAATAGTAATAGCTTGGCTTTCTAAATATATATATGTGGGTGGTTTTAGGAATATTTTTCATTCTAAACTTCAATTATTGATGTCCCCCATATGACTCATTTCTAGTTATTTTTCTAGTCTAATTAGATGTTAGGTATAGAAGGTTTCATAAGGTTTTCTTTTTTAAATTACTTGGGTTTTGATTTACTTTCCATCTGTGTAATAGGGAAAGTAAAGTTAAAGAAGATAATTTTTTCCATCCTTCCTCTGTTGACATATGAGATGAATTCCTATTAAAATTTTTGTTTATTTTTATTTCTTTACATGGAATCATAAACTATCAGGGCAGGGCTTTTAATATTATACTCTTCTGCTTGGAGCTTGGTTTTTACTTTTGATTTTATGTCAGGTGAAAAGAAAAATCTGTCACTCCCTTTTACCTACCATGACGTCTTATCTTTTTCCCTCTTCTATACCTAGAATTTTATTTTATCTTATTTTTTATTTTATTTTATTTTTTTAAGTTTTATTTTAGAGAAAGAGAGTACACGTGGAGGGAAAGGGACAAGCGGACTCTGCGCTGAGCCCGACACAGGGCTTGATCTCATGACCCTGAGATCATGACCTGAGGCAAAATCAAGAGTCAGACGTTTAACCAACAGAGCCACCCAGGCGCCCTCTATTACTAGAATTTTACGACTTAAATCTAATTTCTCTTACTGTTCTAATAGTTTTCTGAATTGCTCTGGTTAGACACTGTTAAGTTCCTTCTTCTAAATAGAACCCATGTGAATATCACACATCCATGTTTCTCTGGGAAAATGAAGAAAATCTTACTATTTCTTAGAATTTTTATATACTTTAACCCTATAACTGTTGTTCAGCCTGCAGTAAAAATTCCCTAGGGGTTTATAAAAATTGACTAATGAGTGTGGATAGGCAGAAGATAAACAGCCCATCCATCCATCCTGAAACCAAGTTTACTGGAATTTTTTTTTAAAGAACTTTTTTTTTTAAGATTTTATTTATTTATTTGACAGAGAGGGAGAGAGAGAGAGAGAGGACACACAAGCAGAGGGAGCAGCAGAGAGAGAGGGAGAAGCAGGCTCTCCGCTGATCAGGGAGCCCGACGTGGGGCTCGATCCCAGGACGCCGGAAACATGACCTGAGCTGAAGGCAGACGCTTAACTGACTGAGCCACCCAGGCGCCCCTGGAATATTTTATAATTTAACTTAGTGCTCTTAGGAAGGTGGGTAATAGGCTGTTGACTTAAGAGGAGAATCATGTTTGTGCCTCTGGGCCACTCTGCTCCTAAACTGCCAAATGAAATCCTAGAGTATAAATTCTTATTTGGGCAGTGAATGATTGAGAAACTTGAGGTTTTGTGTAACTGGGGCTCCCAGGGTTTTATAATAGTTTCATCAGAGTAATAAACAAGAGCTGCTATGAAAGTAGAATATACTGGTAATACAGGCTTTAGTGGAAAGGCTTCTAGTTCATGAAGGGGACAGACTAGAACATGTTATTTAGCAAGGAGACCTGCCCAACTAAATACATTTTTTGAAAATACAGTATTGCTATCTCATCAGCTAACATTGTGTGTGTTTAATCTCTTCTTAGACAAATTAGTTCTTTTTGCTGCAGCTGATTAACATATTTTGTTTCCTCATGATTCCTGATAATATGAAAATAGTCAAAACTGGTTTTGTATTTTTTCCTTCAGTAGCCTTTTAAAATAAGTTTTTATTTTAAATTAATATGGATTGGTGGTTCAAGCATCTGTTCAGTCAACAAATACAGTGAGCTTTCTTTTTTTTTTTTTTTAGATTTTATTTATTTATTTGACAGAGAGAACACAATCAGGGAAAGCAGCAGGCAGAGGGAGAGGGAAAAGCAGGCTCCCTGGGATCCATTACCTGAGCTGAAGGCAGACGCTCAACTGACTGAGCCACCCAGGCGCCCCTGAGCTTTCTGATACAAGTGAAAAAAACAAGATAGTGAAAGAAATGTACAACATGAAATTGTCAAGTTATAAATGTGTTACTATCCTTGGAATTTCCTTAAGTAAAGGTGACAGTGAAGATATAGAAGAATCCTAACCACAGCCAATGAATCAGTTACTAGAAGCTTGAGTTAATCTTAAAAATTTAGGACATCCTGATACTTAAATTAAGGGTTTTTTATAAAGATGGAAATAATCCTTATTCTTATGAGAAAAAATACTGAGCAGCAAACAGCTGCATGAAGCCATTATTTCTGTGGGGATATTTATAAACTAATAATGTAAGTTTTGCAATTGAAAAGAGCAATCTTGGCAGATGAAAATTCAATAAAAAGTGCGATCAGCTGGGCAAATAAAAAATTGTTTGAAGATTCCTTCATGGCCATTTTCAGAATAACCTTGGAAAGTGAAGATCCAAAGCAGGAGAAAAGTGGATGAAACCCTACATGATAGACATAGCCAAATTACCATAGTCTTGAGCCAAGGACAGTATGAAACAATGCATTTTATTACGCTTAAAAGCCATCCCTGAAGAACTGTTTAGAGTGGTTAACCTTTCCCCTTAGGGTTAGTCTGTTTTACAACTTGGTTATTTTGTCTTCAGTGTATTTAAAATGGTTTCTGTGAAGATATCACTTTGTTAAGTCATAGAATAATATAAGAAGAAATGTAACAAGATGTGAATTTTTAGTGAGCATTAACATTTGGAATCATCTATGACAAAACTCCACAGTAGCCCATGGTGGCCTCTGCATCATTTACTGAGCACATGTCACCTCAAATTGTTTCTCAGTGCTCACTGAAGTGGTAAAAAAAAGAAGAGGGACATTTAGCTTAAGAAAACCAATGGTTAGAATATGTACACTTTTAGACAATTTAATAATGAAACAATTCACTTTTGAAATTGGATCAGACAGGGAAGCTATTAGCATTTTAAAATTCCAAGATTAAATTATTTTTCTTTATGGACAAAAGAGACATTGTGGTGAAAAATAAAAAGGAGGATTAGGTGAATGAATTCATGTTTTCCTTACTGGTAAAAGAAACATGTAAAGTTGGCTTATTTGTTAATTTTTCCAAGGCCATATTTGATTAGAGAACAAATACAAGGCAGTTGAATTTTTTCTTTTCTTTTTTTCTATTAGTGGCATATGATGAAACCTGAGTGTTAAGGAATAACGTTTGAGAATTGAATGAAGTTATTTGATGTATCTCTAATAAATTATGACTGTACAGTAAGCTGATCAGTAATTATTTTTCTTTTACAGTCACTTCTCAGTGACATTGAAATGGAATGACCAGTGGATCAGATTTTTTCAGTTAAAGGACATGAGCATTTCAGGTTCCCAAGAAGATGGTAGACTTAATAAAATTTCCACCATTAGTAGGCTAAATGTTGCGCTGTACCGCCTCTGTTGGGCATCTCACTTCACAGAAATAGTGATACTGGAACAGAGTATCTAAATGTTGAACTTGATAAACAGTTTAAGTTAGCAGGGCACCTGGGTGGCTCAGTTGGTTAAGCATTTGCCGTCGGCTCAGGTACTGAGGATCGAGCCCCGCAATAGGGCTCCCTGCTCGGGGGGATTCTGCTTCTCCCCCCACCGCCACTCGTGTTCTCTCTCTCTCTCTCTCTCTCAAATAAAATCTTAAAACAAAACAGTTAAGTTAGAGTTTTCTCTAAAAGAACATATTCCAGGCAAAAGTATGTTGCTCTACAGTAAAACATGGAGAGCTATTTCTCTCTTTCCTTCACAGTAGTATTTTTGACCGATACATTGTTGAGAGGAATGTAAAATTTATATGGATCTTAAGAAAACAGGAGACTTCAAATAAATGTCCTGGGTCGCTTCTGAGCATCTGCTCTCCCCTCAAGATCTTTGGGCTATTGATTTGTAGCTTTAGCCCTCTACAGATCTCTACAGATCAAGATTTTTTGGTAGATAATTTTTAGAAATACTGCCCCATACAAGAATTTGTTTCAAGTTCTCATTGAAGTGTTTTATACTTGCATGTTTTGCAATTTCTATGAGATAAACTGCATTTTTTAAAAAGGTGTTGAAATAGTTACAAGCGTTTGAGGCATTTTGTTTTTTTGTTTTGTTTTGTTTGTTTTTTTTACAGATGATCACTCTTTTTCTCTGAGTTGCCGATGTGGTGGAAAATACAGTGTTTCTAAGGATGAAGCAGAAGAAGTTACCCTGATTTCTTGTGATACATGTTCACTAATTATAGAACTCCTTCATTATGGCTGAAATTGTTCACTAAGTGGGATCCTTTAACTGTGTATTCAGACATGTTGAAGAGAGCCCATTCAAGTAAATGTATAAAGCTGATAAAAAGAAGTAGGATTCTTTTTTTGGTCAGCTTTTATTTGCAGAGAAAGTATAAGACTGTCAAGCAAGGGCCACCCCAGATTAATAGAAAATTAATTTAGTTACTTATATGTATTTATATTTTATATTTATAGATCACCAAAAAAAAAAAGGACTTGAATTATAAGTTATATTTTGTGAATTCCCATCTGAGAACTTTGTTATTTGGTCCATTTTTCCTTGGTATAAGAATTTTCCATTTCTTTAAGCATGTCTCCTCTTATAATGGGTCACAGTATCATCATGTTTCTTTATAGTTACTGAGTTTCTGAAGTAACATGACATTTCTAGCTGCTGAAGTTACAGGCCTATTGTACAAGTATCTCAAAGTCTCAAGTCATTAGGATTAAATTATAATCTTTGTGAATAACATGTGAGCCTAGTACTCCCATAATGAGGGCTGGATATGGATATTCATGAAGTTATTTCAAAGTTAATAAAGAAGGTAAAGTGGCAACTGTAGAAAGGATAGCTTTGGAGTGAAAAGACTTGACTCGTCCTGACACTGTATTTCCAGATTCTTCGTGTGGCCACATTAAAGGGAATAAAGCTTGAACACTGCCATCTTCAACTTTAAATGTAACTTAGGAAATGGTAGCTTTAAAAAAAAATAAATAAATTTGATACAGATGCATTATTTTCCTTTTTATTTCAAAGTACTAAGTATTAATTCCTGCATTTATGAATAAGGAACCACACTGCATTGCTGGTATGATCAGATGGACTTTTATAATGTTATTATTGATTATAATAGACTCTAAAGATTTTATTTTTCTGTATATTTGATACTTTATGTACAGTATAAGTCAGGACTCATTTAAAAAAAAATTGAGGAATCCTTTATGGGATCACTGGAACTTTATTACTTAATTTCAAATGAGTGAACCAAGCATGTGTCATAGCAGCTTTTTATTAGGTTGAACCCATGGTATTTATTACTGGTTTGGACTTAAAAGACTAGTTACTACTCTGATGTGTAAATGTAGCAAAAGTATGAGGCATATTCAAGAAAAGATTACTTTCGTTATAGCTATAAAACCAAAAATTCAGAAGTGAGGTTGTCATCCAGGTTTTTTCCCTAAAAATATTTTTATATCTATCATAAAATTTAGATGACTGACTTTTTTAGATTTGAACACTGCCATCTTCAACTTTAAATGTAACTTAGGAAATGGTAGCTTTAAAAGAAAAATAATCTGAATACAAATTTAGATGACTTACATTTTTATCCATATATTGGAACTAATAGAGCTTGCAGTACGTGTCGTTTATTCTTTACATATAACAATTACAAATGATTAAAACTAAGTAGCAAATAGTTTATTAGTAAGTACATGGTTTCAGTGGCAATAATAAATTCACTTGGAGAGAAAAATCAGAACAATAAATTCTTGCTAATCATCAGAAAATCTGTGGCCATTAGGGCTGTCACGTAGAAATCCAAAATCACTCAGAGGCCAAATCTGTAAAATTAAAATGTGATTGAAGACACTTAATGAGAGTGTTATATCATCATCATATTCCCTTTATTCATCCCTTTTCTTTGTGCCATATAAACACTTTCTCCTTATTTTTAGTCAAGAACAAATTCTCTATACCAAAATAAGACTTTAGAAAGTAAACTTGTATGTGCATATGTATTTAAACTCTAAAGTTTGGAATGCCGATATGTTATACAAGAAATTATATGTGTATGGTATGTGAATATATATGTATGAATATGTGTCTGTGTTTTCTTTTACTACCCTCAAAGTTAACTGTAAGCCTACGTATTTAAATATAACTTCTGCATAAGTGTAAAGAATCCTGCAGATTATCCCACAGCCCCAAGTATTCATGTGTTTTTCTTCTTACTGTTGTGGCAAAAAGGAGGAGCCAGTGAAAATAATCATCTTTCCTACGAGTCCTACATTTACTGTAACCATGGTAAGTCAATGTACTTAACTGGGATATCCGCACTTAACAGTGTGGTTTGACTACACTGCTCTTCTGCAAATGCATATTTATTTCCAAGATACAAATATAGTTGTACAAGTTGTATGAGAAAGAATTACATTCTGGAGGTTTAAACTAAGGGCTTCTTATAGCTAAGGTAGTTTGGACTTTATTATTCAAACAAAAAATTACTCTTAATTACCTGTCTCAGTGGGGAAAAAGGTAATGTTTATAGCTATGAAGGCCAGCATGTGCCTAAAATGTAGTCGCTGCAACAGTTAAGTCCACTGACAGCCTGAATATTTCAAAGTTCATTTTGGAAGAAATTGGTGTTTTTTTGTTTTTTTTTTTCCAGCTCAGAGAAGAAAACCTACATTTTAAGCAGAAAATAATACCTTGAAAAAGATACGTCCTCTTATTAGTCCATATGGAATAGGTCCATAATACCTGGAATCTGTAGAATTCTGTAGATTATCACCTTCTAACCAAACATGACCTGTTGGCACCTAGAATTAGAGAAGATAGCAGCCCCTTTAAAAAACAAAAACAAAAAAACAAATTTGGGTACTATAAATAAAAAGCATGTCTTCTGGTAGTAGGAAGAAATGTCCTACTAAAGTTCTTTTTTATAAAACACATACAAACCCTATGATTTGTATTTTTGCTTTTATTTCTTGCACAATAAAAAATCTTTTACTAAATAATATTAGTAATGTTAAGATTTCATCATTTTAAAAGACCTATCTTTTTTGCCACATGGTTCCCAAACATTAATTTGTTACACAAACCCCAAACTGAGGTTATAAGAGATCAAAACAGTGTGACAGGGTCATTAATTTAATAGACTTCAAAAGAGGTCATTAGGATGCTGACTGAAAATGTGCCCTCCTGTCTCTGGAACAGCAGAAGCAGGGCAGCCACTCAACTCAGCAACATCCTGGGGCCAGTACCACCGCCAGACCTATTAGAGTGCTCATGATGAACTAAATGGTAATTGATTGTGACATCAATTACAAATAATCTCATCATTTTATTGGAGTGGGCTTGTCAGAATTCTAATTAAGATCCCTGTTCTGCCTTTGTACAGGCCATATCTTCAATGCATTATACTTCAGTAATGACCATCAGGAACTAGAAGGACCTATTATAAAATCATCAGTTGTAAAATTAATGATGGTGACCTACTGAATAAAAGACCCTATCTCCTATATTGTCCTATGTATTAACTGGTAAATAACGTTAAGTTTACATTTTTACTCAATGTCAACCATAAGAATATTTAGAACAGAACATGTTACCTTAAAAAAAATGCGCTCTGTGATATGAAACATTTGCCCATTAATCTATTCTATATAAACTTAAAAAATTACTCTGCAGCAGTAATCCTTAAAGTAGCATTTTACAAGTTATTTTATAGTTTTTGTTACCCAAGAAAGTTGAATTATTGACCAGACCAAGATGATCTACTGGGAAGGAATTTATTTTCACTTTTCTTTTGACTTGCTGTTTATTACTTGGGTACCTTATGTGAAGAAAAATACTCCTACTGGGATAAATAAGAAATGACTGCAATTTTACAAAATATTACAAATTACTGCTTTTTAAAGACTTTTTTAGAGCAGTTTTAGGTTCACAGCATGATCAAGAGGAAGGTACAGAGATTTCTCACCCATCTCCTGTCTCCACGCATGCATAACCTTCCCCACTATTGACATCCCCTACCACAGTGGTGTATATTTGTTATACCTGGTGAACCCACATCAACATCATAATCACCCAAGGTCCAGAGTTAACTTAGGGTTCACTCTTTGTGTCGTACATTTTATGGGTTTGGACAAATGTATGACATGTATCCATCATTATAGTATCAGAGAGTATTTCCACCGCCCTAAAAACCCTGTGTGAGCTGCCTATTATTCATGACTCCCCCCCCCTCCATCCCCCATATTACCTTTTGGAAAAATAAATGTATACAAGCATGTAAAATCTGAATTTCACTTTACATCAGAGCTTATATAATTTTGGAATGTCTTATGTAGAAATATTTGTCCAAAACAAGTTATTTTCATTTACATACACTTAAATGTTAAATCTATTTGTAGAGAAAGAACTTAAGTTTCCTGAAAGAGTATCAGATGCTATAAGATCACTTTTTTCCCCCCACTATTAGTGGAACTAAGTTATAGGTTCTAGGGCCAAAAGCAAGACTAATTCCTATCTGTATAAGTGGATTTATGTACAGTCAACCTTATTGTTCAGGTAGAAAAATGAATCCATCTCAGGTCACAGATAAAAAAAAAAAACCAAAAGTGTATTTGGAAAAGCCATGTGTCATTAACATAGTCTCAAGTGCCACTATGGGAGAAGCTATAATATGGACATTTTATGTTTAAATTTCCATAGTTTCTCCTTAATACGTGTTTGTTTCTGAGTTGTAAAAAATATGTAATAAACCAAGATCCAATATACATTCCATTTCTTCATGAAGCTCTCCCCAATCTTGCCTGCCCATACCAAATACTCTTGATAGTTTAGAGCACTTACTATATAAAGTCTGCCTTGCCTGGGTCCCTGTATTATAACATCTTATTAACCTGCTTGGCTTTTGTGTAAGTCTATTATTTTATGACCAAATAAGCCAATAGACCATAATCGTGTCGTGATCTTAATTCTTTACAACACCTAAGCCAAAACTGGAAGTCCGATATTTGGTGGTATTTATTATTAATGTAAGTATAAATTCTTACAAAGCACAATCACTTTTGTATGACTTTTGAATTCTTCCAAATTAGTGAAATAAAGTGATGAAGTGTTATCTCTGGTAATAAATTCCGTTCTGTACTGGTTAATTTTATTATTAACGGAATAAATAATTAACCAGTACAGAACGGAATCTGGAACATATTACCAGAAGCCTTTGGAAGAGTATGACTCAGCTATCTTGACCTAGTCCTTGATTGCAACAGGTGGAACATAAAGAAGGAAATAGTAGTGCAAGCCAGTATATATACATGGCGTTCTGGTTTCTTTAAAAAAAAAAAAACCAAAACACTCATTTGATCCTTAAAACAATCTGTGAAGTACTATTATTGATAGTTAATAGAAGTAGGTTCAAATATGGGGCATGCTAATTCCCATTTATCTGAAGCCTATACATTCTAATACCCATGCATCCATTTATAGTAAAGGAAATATCCTCTACCTCTCAGACTTGGTGCTTGATAGAAAGTACACAAATCAAGGAAACAGCCTCATCATCAATGGAACCTTTAATAACAGCTTCTCTATAAACAGGAAAACCTCTAAGTTGGATCTTTTAAATCAAAGCAGTCACTTTTGCTGACCTACCTGCCAACTACTCAGTGTCCAGTAAAAAATTCATGATGTTGAAATTATTCCGCTTATTTTTGGTATAGAGTAAGAGTGTACACTTTAAAAATCAATTTTTTAGAGATTTACTTTATATAGCATAAAAAGCACTCATTTCAAGTTTGACACTAGTTTTGGAAATGTGCACACCTACATAACTGCTAATTACAATCAAGGATGTAGAACATTTTCATCATGCCGAAAAGTTCCCTCCTATGCCAGTCAACCTCCCATCCCTATACCTGGTACCAGGCACCTAGTGAGATCTGTTACTAGAAACTAGTTTTACCTACTTCTAAATTTAATATAAATAAGATTGTACTACACATATTTATTTTGTGTCTGGCTTTTGTTCATTTTTTTATGATTAATCCAGTTGTATATATCAATCATTCATCCCTTTTTACTTCTAAGTAGTATTCTATTGTAAATTAACAATGTTTGCCCATGAATCTGTTGATGGCTATTTTTCTTTGCAGTTTGGGGCTGTTAAGAATAAAGCACTCTAAACATTAATATGTAAGTCCATTTCTTTTCAGTAAATACCAAGGGGTAAAATTTCTAGGCCATAAGTGTATGCCTACCCTTAAACTTTTCCTAAATAATTAAATCATTTTACACTTGCAGCAGTAATGTATGAGTATTCCTGTTGCCCCACAACCTTGGTATTTTCCTTTTTAAAAATTTCTGCACTTCTAGTAAACTGTTGGTGTCACATTGTGGTTTTCATTTGCAGTTCTCTGATGAACATTTTTTTCTTGTGCCTATTAGTGTATCTTTTGTGAAGTGTCTATTAAAATATTTTTCCTTATTTTTAAAATGGGTTGTTTTCTTACTCATTTTAAGAATCCTTTATCTTGAGTATAAGTCCTGTGACAGGTATTACAAATATTTCCTCCTAGTCTGGGTCTTTTTAATTTTTTTGCCATTTCCAATGTATTGTAAAGCTATACATTCCAATGTATTGTAAAGTGTTTTCTAAGTTCTGTATATTCACTTGGTTCTTTTGATATTTACCATTTCTTTCCTCATTATGTTCATCCTTGAGATCCTTGAAAATATTTAGATTTGGTGTTTTAAAGCATGTGTCTGTTAATTCCATTACTTCTGTTATTTCTGGATCTATTTAATTGATTTTTCTTCTGGCTATGGATTACACTTTCTTATTTTTTCACATATCTTGTAGTTTGTGACTGAGCTGGACATTGACTTGTTGAGTGGATTCTGTTTTTTTTACAGCAGGTTGAATGTTGAAGAGGTCTGCTTGTTTTGGGGGAGGCAGATAAGTTAGCTGTGGATCAGCTTATTCCTTTCAAGCCTTGTTTTTAAAGCTTGTCAGGTTGGGTGTATCTCACACTGTACTCTTAGGGCTACTTTAGGCGTACTACTAAGTAAGGCATGATATTCAGGGATCTCTACTGAATGTGCAGGATATTCAGTAAGATCTGTCCACTCTGGCTGGTCAGAACTCCAGTGGCTCTTAGCCCTGTGTGAGCTCTGGGAATTGCTCAGCTCCCCACTCATTCTTTGCTCGGTCTCTACGTTTCATTGTAAGCAGGCACAATTTAGTATTCAGCTCAAAAGCCAAGAGAACACCTAAGGAGATTTATGGTGATCATTCGGTAGCTCTGTTTTCCCAAGTAGTCTGATCCATAAGTTCCAACCACTTAAACTTCCCCCTATACCAATCTGTCTCTTCAACTCAGCAAAACCACTATGCTTTGGCTTGAATTTTACTTCAGTACCTTGTGAAACACCTGACTCGCAGCAGGAGTCGGGGCAAGTATAGGGCTTGCCTTGTCTACCCTCTTTTTAGGGATCTGTCCCATACTTCCTGCTATGCATTCTCTGAGAACAGCTGTTTTACATTTTTGTCCAATTTTCTAGTTCTTTATGGCAGGATGGCAAGTTCAGCATCAGTTACATCATCATTACTAGAAACAAATGTTCAAATTATCTAATTTTTAAAGTCTTTATTATTTTTCTTAGCATACCTCATAACAATATGAAGAGAATCCTTATGGTAAAAACTGAAAGTTTTTGATGTAAGGTAAAGTGTGCCTTTGGCATCTCTCTTCACCTTGAGTCCCTTTCAGTTGCATCCCCTGCATGTTTTTGTTCTACCCTTTATCAAAATCTCTAGAAAAGATCTGCCAAACTCAGCATGCAATTATGTATAAATAAGGAATTTCACTATGGTATTGCTTGTATCTCAAAATTGGCAAAAGTATAAATATTCCTCAGTAGGTGCAGATCAAATAAAATATGGTTCATTTATATAATAGTAGACAGCTGGTTAAAAAAAACTAGTAGATTTACATGAATACCATCAGTGAAAAAAATAAGTTACATGGCAATATGTATAAATGTTTAAAAGAAATCCACAAAAACATATATTTCAAAATTTACATTTTTATGAACAGTATATACTACTTAGATAATTTAAAAATGGATATAAACCTCAACTAACCATGCAGTTATGTCCCGATTAACCCATCATAAGTTGAAAATGCAGTTGACCCTTGAACACAGGGGTTGGGGTGCTGATCCCCTACCGTCCCACGCCAAGTCGAAAATTCCCGTATAACTTCTGCCTCCCCCAAAACTTAACTATTAATAATCTGTTGACAGGAAGCCTTACTGAGGACATAAACAGTCGATTAACACGTATTTTATATGTATTATATACATATTCTTAAATAAGTTAGAGAAAAAATATTCAGAAAAATCATAATGATGAGAAAATACATTCACAGTACTATAGTATAAAAATTCCACATGTACATGGACTCACGCAGTTCAAACCCCTGATGCTCATGGGTCGACTGTATTTTAAGTCAAAAATGCATTTGATATACCTAACCAACTGGCCATCATAGCTTAGCCTAGCCCACATTAAATGTGCTTACAACACTCATATTAGCCTACACTTGAGCAAAATCATCTAACACAAGCCTATTTTACAATAAAGTGTAGAATATCTCAAGTAATTTATTGAATACTGAAAGAAAGTGAAAAACAGAATGGCTATATGGGTACAGGATGGTTGGTTGTAAATGGTCACATTACCCTCTTGATGGCATGGGTGACCGGAAGCTGTAGCTCACTTGCTGCTTCCCAGCAACATGAGAGTATCATACTGCATATCAGCCCGGGAAAAGATCAAAATTCAAATTCTGAAGTACAGTTTCTACTGAATATGTATAGCTTTTGTAGCACAATAAAGTCAAAAAAATCTTAAGTCAAACCATAAGTACACACACACACACACGTTATCTTAATGTGGCTGTCCTTTTCAAGTGATACTTGTACTTTTTTTAAAAAAGAACATGGTCCATCACAATACAGGCTAGGAAGAGCTTTGTTGAATTAATTTTTTTTTTTTTTAATCTTTGCTAGTGTGGAAAGAGAAAGATCTAACTTCCAATCTAGATAGAAGGTTTGCTTTTTTGTATAGTGTAAGTAAATGACTGCAGTTAGCAGTATTGTCACCAGATCTCTGGATAACTAAAATATTTGTCTAGCTAAGAACTCATTTCTTTAAATAAACATAAAGTAAACATTTTGGGTATGGGTCTGAAATTCAAAACCTGACCTTTCTGGTACAGACTGAGGCAAAAAAACAGAACCAAAATTTCCTTTCTTACTCAAAATGCAGTTATTGTCTCTGGGATTAAACTACTGATTATCACTGAATTGAAAATTCAAACCAGAGGGAAAAAATTCTATAGCAATATTATAGTATTAATAGATTAAATGGTAGTTTAAAATGTAGACTCCAATAAACTGATTTGTAATAAATGTTTGCAAATTACAAAAAATGGAAATCCCTAATTCTATGCCTTTGTTCGTTACTTCTCATAACCGAAACTTTAAATGGTTAGATTACTTTTCCTTTTCATACCTTTGTCAATCTGTTATGCCAAACTTGAATGAATCTGTGAAACTGAGTAAGAATATATGAATATGTTTATAGTGAATACCACATAGGAATTTTTACTTTGGCTCTAATGTGAATTTTCCCAGGGTCTCAGGACTTACTCTAAGGGCTAAATTTTAAAGCATTAAAAGAACCCTTAAATCATTCTTGTTTCTCCTTTCTACGTCAGAGGTTTACTTCCTGATGTATGATAATACCTAATCTCAGGGCTGGACAAAAGAATCAAGCCTCTAGTTCTTAACTATACTTAACAGAGGTCTAGTTAAGTGCCTCCTTTATAGTACAAGCAACAAATGTAATTGCCTCATGGCCTGCGGGTGTCCATTTAACAAAAGAGGCTTTGTGAACCAACCCACAGGTGTTACTTTTCTCGATTCAAATGAAATCTGATGCAAGAGTCCACAATATCAGATAACACATTTACTAAACTGCAATCAAACTCATTTATTTAAGCAAAAAATACCTAATTAAGAAAAAGATCCTACTGAAGAATAAGATATTTGTATGTCTGACCTTTCAAAAATTTCAAAAAACAGAAAATTCTAATAACAGGTTGATTTTTTAAATGAACCCTTTCTTTGCCAGATATTTTATAATTTACAACCAACAAAGGTAGGAGGGTATAAAGCCAAGGAGAGGGGCAAAGCTTTTGGAATCTTTTTTTTTTTTTTTTTTTAAGATTTATTTATCTGACAGAGAGAGAGAGGGAGAGAGAGCACAAGCAGGGGGAGCAGCAGAGGGAGAGGGAGAAGCAGAGAAGCAGGCCGACCGAGTAGGGAGCCCGACACAGGGCCCGATCCCAGGACCCTGGGATCGTGACCCGAGCTGAAGGCAGACGCCCAACGACTGAGCCACCCAGGCGCCCCTGGAATCCTTTTTTGACATGATTATTTTTCCTTTTCCTGAATTATAAAGGAAGAGAGGGACACACATTTTATGAAAGCAATCAGAGAAAGCCTTGTTTCTTTTTGGCAAAAGCAAATGGGGGTGATCTATCAGTAACACATTATTTAATCTTAAGAGTATTTATTTCATTTTCCACACATATTTTAAAGATTTTGTTTTGGGTCTCATGGAATGATAAATGTGAAATATAAAAATGTATAATTTCCCTACCCTGGAAAAATGTCCACATGATGAATGTACATTTCATTTCATATGTCATTTTACTCTAACAATGCCCATAAAATTGTTTTTTATGTTACTATCTTCCAGGTAAGCAGGATCAAGTCAAATTACTATCCCATTATGTGGCTAATGTATATTCTGTTTAATCATGACTTACATAACCAAAATGAAGCCATGGTAAGATGCTGTGGACACAAACTATTGGAAAGAATAATTGGAAAATGAAATAATTTATTATATAGTTCTAAAAGAACTTCATAAAACCTGGTATTGTATGATTCATGCAAAAGCAAAATTAGAAACACCATCAATCAGTAATTTTTGGAGTTTACTCTTCCTATAACACCAATAAAAGCTATAAACAAAGACATATGTCAAAAAGTGAAGCACTGAATCCTCCTAGGGGCAATCAAGTAGAAGAGCTCTTGATACACAAGGCAGAGAAAACGTTATTAGTCTTTCATTTAAAAAAATGGGAGTCTCAAGTGCCAGTTATCAGTATCCTTGAAAGCAAAACTCAAGGAACAGTTTCACTAACATTGTATTTGACATTCTTCTTGGCACAACTTCTTGCCCACATTTGCCTACCTGAGGAGAATATCTGGAGTCCTAATGGTGGTACTCCCAAATGCTAGACGCATGACAAAGGGATTAACATTTATAAGGACCAGGCATGGAACAGTTAACACTGATTATTTCAATGCATGCTATTTCTGTGTAGTCTTATTACTCTCCTATCTGCTTATTAATGGGGACTGTTATTGTCATTCCCTACTTAAAAATGGTGCTACCTTGGGTTCATTAGCCAATTATCACCAAAGAGGAATTTCACCAAAGTTCCAATAGGCTACAACTCCAGCACTAGGGTTGGAGTAATGATGGGGGATGCTTTTTACTAACATTCTTTCATTATCAAGCATCTCCCTGCTGAATAGATTTAGAGCTTAATCTTAGACCTGCTCATTCTCATAGCTATTGCAAGCTAAGCTCCTTCATCTTTCCCCCAAGTACTCTACCTCCATCCAGCCTGAAGAGGAATTTCTGATGGGCTCTTTAAGTATGGTGGTTAAAGATACAGTCCACAGAGTAAGAAGAGTCATGAGTTCAAAATGTAGCTCTGCCACTTACTAGGTAAGTACCTTGGACAGGTTGTTTAAACCTCATCTATATAACTGGGATTAATAAATGCCTTACAGAAAAATTCTGAGAACCAAATGAAATAACACATAAGGCTCCTGGCACCCAGTAAGCACTCACTAAATATTAGCTATTGTGATTAGCAGTTATCCCAGCTGCTGGTATGAATGGTGTCTGCTGGGCATTCTTTGTTCCTGGTTTCCTATGCTGTCTACCCAGTTTTCTGCAAAGTGAACCATGCTTTGCAATTTCACTTTGTTTTTGATAGTTTCTTTTACAATGTATTCAATTATATAGTTCCGGTATTAGCCAAGACTTGAATTCAGTATTATTAAAAATGTACATTAACTGTGAATAGATGCCATATTAATTATGTAGCAAAGACTATCATTTTTATTCTTTTTTTTTTTTTTAAAGATTTTATTTTTTGGCAGAGAGGGAACACAAGCAGGGGGAGTGGGACATGGAGAAGCAGGCTTCCTATGCGGGGCTCAATCCCAGGACTCCGGGATCATGACCTGAGCCGAAGGCAGACGCTTAACAACTGAGCCAGCCAGGTGTCCCCATTTTTATTCTTTTAACAGGCATCTTAAGCAACGTTTATTAAGTATCAAATGCTTAGGCTCTTCCTTATGAAGCATTCACTTCTTCAGAACCATCTACTCACTAGTCAGAAGGTATATTGAGGGGGGATATGTTGGGACTGAAGCCAACAAATAACCCTTTCCATCACAGCCATCTAATATTAATGTACCAATCCTACAGTATTTCTTTCCCAGGACAATGGATTATTTTGCTCTTCTTTTTTGTTCTATGTGTAAAATAATTTACCTGTTTTGTTTTTGGATTAGTACTTAAAAGAAGCATCTTATATTCTCATTTCAAGACAATCTCTGTAGCTTCATTTTAATACAGCCTAATGTACACTCTGGTTTTTTGTTTTTTTTTTTTGAAAGATTTTATTTATTTATTTGAGAGAGAGTGCACAAATGGGGGAGGGGCAAGGGGAGAAGCAGACTCCCCACCAAGCAGGGAGCCCAACATGGGGATCTATCCCAGGACCCCGAGATCACAATCCTAGCCAAAGGCAGACGCCCAGCTGACTGAGCCACCCAGGCAACCCACACTCTGGTTCTTCCAAAAGATGAGCCTAACTTAATGAAACACAGGGTATTTCAGAAAGTAGTAGAATGTAGTGGTAGGTATGCAAATAATGAGTTTTCTCATGCTCTCAGAAAAAGTCTAAGCAGTTCGTAAATACCATATCATACAAGATATGTAATATTATGTTTCCATGAAAATTTTGATTCACAGGACTTCAAATAATTCTTCCCAACGTCAAAACTCATCCCTATATGGAATTATGTCTATAAATGAATGAATGTAGTCCTATGGCTCCTATACATAACTGCTTCATATAGAGATTGGCTAAAAAGCTGACTTGACACCTGAAATGGTATTAGAAATAGAACATCCAGGGTAGGAAAGAGTCTCTACTCCAAAGAGGAAATAATTACAATGAAATATGTAGATCTGTTTGTATTTGATTACCACTAATGCCTTAAAAAAAAACACAAACATTATGTTGCATTTTTTGACAGATACTTCTACTTGTGTTTTATTTATAAAAACCACAACTCAAATGCACCATGCCCTATTAGTTATTTAGAATGAAATCTAACTTTGTGAATATAAAATTCCCATTTAGACAAGTGGGTGACAGGTAACATTTTTCTGTAATGATGTAAGGTACAAAAAGAATAGCTGAAGATCTTTTAAAAATAAGATTGATCTCTGAGGGCTGAGAGCACCAAAACATTGTTTTAACTAAGAGACTACGAAAACACATTATGGACATCAAGGAGGGAATAGTACAGCATCCAAATGTCATTTTGGAAAAGCATTTGTCTTTTTTCCCCACTTCTTATAATAATATAATTGCCACTGTATTGATTTAAAATACAGGGACGCCTGGGTGGCTCAGATGGTTAAGCATCTGCCTTTGGCTCAGGTCATGATCTCAGGGTCCTGGGATCGAGTCCTGCATTTGGCTCCTTGCTCAGCAGGGAGCCTGCTTCTCCCTCTGCCTGCTGTTCCCCGTTTCTGCTCTCTCTCTCTCTCTGACAAATAAATCTTAAAATAAATAAAATACAGTCTCTCTTAGGCTTATTAGATAGGCTATATCTTCTCTCCATTTCCCAAATTAACATCTCTCCCAGCATCTTATCATGTACCACCTACTCCTATTGCTAAAGCCAGAAACCTGGCTCAATTTTAAGCCCTTCAATTCCATTTCTTCCAGCATCTAATCCTGTCTAGATATTTCCTTAATCTTTCTCCAAACTTTGTACTGCCTTCCATTCTTAATGTTATTATCTTAATTATGTCCTATAGCCTATTAACGGGTCTCTCAGCCTTCAAACCTTCTCTCCTACTAGGAGTCTCTCCTACTCCAAACCTTCCTCTATTAATCTATACTAATATCAGAGTGATCTTTTATTTTTATTCCTTTACAAGAATTTAATACATATATATTTTTTAAGTTTTTTATTTTAAGGGTGATTTTTAAAAAGCTAAGTCTGATAACGTTATTTCCCTGCTTGAGACATACAAGGAACCGAGCCCTGTTTACCTTTCATTTTTATCTCTCTTCACTACCCGCCCCTCCCCACTATGTTCCAGACATGAGAACTTACTTTTGGCAGCTGCCCAAATCACAATGCTATACTCCCCCTTCTAGACCTTATGAATATACTGCTTGCTTTGATCAACTCCTACTTATCCTTCAGAATTTCAACTCAGGTTTTACCTCCAATCTGGAAAAGCCCTGTTGACCCCAATCTGGATAAATATCGTCTCGTGTCTTAT